TACTGTAGGAAGAGCAATAGAGTTGAGACATACTTCTCTTTTAGTGTCGTTAAATGTGTAGTGGGTTACGTGTTGGGCTGCTAACTGCAAGGTCAGTGGTTTGAATCGATCAGCCACTCCATGAGAGAAAGATGAGGATTTCAGCTCCTGTAAAGATTTACAGCCTTGGAAACCATGTATAGGGAGGGTCTCTGTGAACTGGAACCAACTTGAAGGCACACATCCTCCACCACTACCATCACCTGTGAATTAATGCAAGACTTGGTTTTCTAATAAGCTAACATAACATAATTGGCAGCAATCATTTTTAATGAGTAAAAGTTTTAAGTGAAGCAAGCTTTGTGATAGTTTTGTGTATCTAACTTGTTTGGATAACAGATTTTGTTTAGGGAAATTTATATATGTACAAAAAGCATTTCAAGCAGCATTTAGCATTACTTGCCTCTCCAGTGTTTATGAAAGTAGCCGTTTTATACTTTATATCCTGGTATGGCACTGTAGGGTAAGCGCTGGACTGCTAACCTCAAGGTTGGCTGTTCAAACCCACCAGCCACTCCTCAGAAACTACAGGGTTGCTGTCAGCAGAACGGACTATATGGCACTTAACAACAATAACATATCTAAGAAAAAAGGATCCCTGCTAGTGAAAATGGCTAAATTGCTGGTGTTAAGCACCATGATCATGTTAGTTCCCACTCATAGCAACCATGTATGGGGTTTTCAAGGAACAGCTAGTGAATTTTAATGGCTGAGTTGACGGTTTAGACCAACCTTGCAGTCCAGTGCTTATCCTATAGCGCCGCACCAGACTCCTTACAACACTAACATCTCTAAGAAAAAAGGATCCCTGGTGGTGCAAATGGTTAAATGCTCAACTGCTAAGTAAAAGGTCAGCAGTTCAAACTCACCCAGTAGCTCCAAGCGAGAAACAGCTGGTGATCTGTCTCCATTGTTGTTCTATTGTTGTTGTTTGCCATTGAACCGGTTCTGACTGTAAGTCACAATAAAACTGTCCCTTAAACCGCAAGGTCAGCAATTGGAAACCACCAGTTCCGTGGGAGAAAAATGAGGCTTTCTGCTCCCGATTTCCAGTTTCAGAAACTTTGTACAGGGTCGCTATGAGAACCTACTCCAAGGCCCATGACCACCAAGGGTTCCTAGGAGTCCTGGTGTGACACTGTGGGTTAATGCCCTGGACTGCAAGGTCGGTTTAAACTGCAAGGTCAGTGGTTCATGCTCCTAGGCCACTTCTCGGAAATCCTATGAGTGTCGTTGTAAGTCAGAGCTGACTCAAAGGCATTTAACAACAGCAACAACAACAGTAGGGTTTCTAGGCTATAATCTTTATGAGGAGAGATCGCCAGGTTTTTTGTTTTGAAGAGCAACTGGAAGATTCAAACCACCAACCTTGTGGTTAGTAGCTCAGTGTTTGATCATTGTATTGCCAAGGTGTCTTCCATAAAGAGACTAGTCAAGGAAACCCTCTGGGACAACTTCAGTCTGTCATTTGGGGCCTCTGTGAGTCAAAACTGACTCAAAGGTACCTAACAACAACAACAGTTTCTAAGAAAAAGAAAGACTCATAAATCTTTTATTTAAACTTATCAGCTTATAATTAAGTTTCTTTTGCTTCCTCTTTGGCAGGTAATTTCTACTTTTCACTGAGAGACACTATAATGAACTTTCAAACAGTACCCATGACCGCATTTGTCTATCACTGCAAGTCTGTTTTTATTGTTAAGTGCCGTCTAGTCGGTTCTGTCCTATAGCGACCCTTTAGAGGGTTTCCAAGGAGTGGCTGGTGAGCTTGAACTACCAACCAGTTCAAACTGACTTTTAACCCATAGCACCTCACCTGGAGTCCCACTATAAGTCTGAATGCCCCAAATTCACCTTAGGCTTAAGATAAACTTTTTTTTTTTATAAGAACAACAGAAATATTCACCTTTGAAAGCTATGTTAATGAATGTATGAAGTAAAAAAGGATGTAGGGGAATTCAGATTGACCTTTACTATTCAGATGCATAAATGGTGGTGGTTACGTGCCCTGAAGTCGGTTCCGACTCATAGCGACCCTATACAGGGTTTCTGAGACTGGAAATCTTTATGGGAGCAGAAAGCCTCATCTTTCTCCTATGGAACAGCTGGTAGTTTTGAACTGCTGACCTTAAGATTTGCAGCCTGATTCGTAACCACTACACTACCAGAGCTCCTTTGAACTTGGCTTGTGGCCACAAGTAGTTTATTCACTTACTGCGAGACTAATGCCAATGGAATGTTATCAGATAGTGAGTGAACTAATGAATTTAAAAAATAACAATAACAACAAAACCCCCAAAGGTCTTTCCTAGATGCTCAACAGTGGACATGAGACAGAATCTTAGAAAATCCTAGGTGGAGAATCTGAAGTCCTTTATTATGTAAACCCTAACTGCAAAAGGCTTTTCTTTTATTTTCATAACTTTTGAAATTGAGAGTCTTGGTGTGGCACTGTGGATAAAGCACTGGACCACAAGATTAATTTGAACCCCGCAAGGTTTGAAGTTCAAACTCACAAGCTGATCCTCTGGAAACCCTATACAGGGTCACTGTAGCAACATCTTTTTTTTTTTGGTTTATGCCAAATCTCATGGCTAAAATTAAGACTCCTCACAAAAATCATCCCATCCATCAATGAATGTTTTTCCAGTGTAACTATTTCAAAAGTGATGTGTAAATGAGTGTTTTAATGCCAGTAAGACAAGGAGAGTGTTTAGTATTTCTTTCCTTAACTGTTACTGGTTTCTTTGGATTACTAGGATGTGGAGAACATCTTGTTCGCACCATACTGGCTAGAGAATGTTCACATGCTTTGCAAGCTGAGGATGCTCACCAAGCACTCTTGGAGACTATGCAAAACAAGTTTATCAGTAAGTACAACATTATGAAAATTACATTCTACAGGAGGGAGGGAGGCAGGAGGGGAAGTTACTCATGGGCTGCAGGGTAGCCGTATGTTGTTAAGTGCCATTGCGTTGATTTCCGACTCATAGCTGCCCTCTATAGGCTTCCTAGGAGCAGTTGGTAGGTTTGAACTTCTGACCTTCAGGTTACAGCTCAGTGCTCATCCTGTTGTTTTTTTCTAAATGCAGTTGAATTGGTTCTGACTCATAGTGACCCTGTAGACCAGGGGTGGTGGTGTTGGTGTTGGTAGGTGCCCTCGAGTCAGTACTAACTCATAGTGACCTTATACACAACAGAAGAAAATACTGATTCTGTGCCAACCTCATAATCCTTGCTACACTTGAGCCCATTGCTGCTGCCACTATGCCAGTCTATCTCGCTGGGGGTTTTCCTCTGTTTCTCTGACATGCCACCTTATCAAGCATGATGTCCTTCACCAGGGACTGGTCCCTCCTGAAAATATGTCTGAAGTATGAGGTATGATGTCTGGCCATCCTGGCTTCTAAAGAGTATTCTGGCTGTACTTCTTCCAACACAAACTTGTTTGGTTTTTTTTTTTTTGGTGGTCCATGATACTTTTAATATTCTCCTGAAGCACCATAACTTGAATGCATCAACTCTTCTACAGACTTCTTGATTAATTGTCCAACTTTCACCCGCATATGAGATTATTAAAATTACCATGGCTTGAGTCAGGTGCACCTTAGTTCTCAGACTGACATCTTTGCTCTTGAACACTTTAAAGAACTCTTGTGCAGTCTAATTGCAATATATTGCAATGCATCGTTTGACTTCTGGACTGCTGTTTCCGTGAGTGCTGATGATTGAGCCAAGCAAAATGAAGTCTTCAACTTCAGTCTTTTCTCCATTTATCTTGATGTTATATATTGGTCCAGTGGTAAGGACTTTTGTTTTCTTCACATTGAGATGTAACCCATACTGAAGGCTGTGGTCTTTGGTTTTCATCAGTAGTATTTTTAGCCCTGTTAGCTTTCAGCAAGCAAGGTTGTATCATCTGCATATACTAGGTTGCTAATGAATCTTCCTCCAATCCTGATTCCATGTTATACTTCATATAATCCAGTTTCTTGGATTATTTGCTCAGTGTACATATGAATGAGTATGGTGAAAGAATACAACCCTGGCCCACACCTTTCCTGATTTTAAACCTTTCAGTGTCCACTAGTTCTGTTAGAAACACTGCCTCTTGGTCTGTGTACAGGTCCCTCATGAACACAATTAAATGTTCCAGAATACTCATTCTCCACAGTGTTGTCCATAACTTGTCACGATCCACACAATTGAAAGCCATTGTGTAGTCAAAAAAGCACAGATAAACATCCTTCTGGTATTCTCTGCTTTCAGCCAAGATCCATCGGACATCATCAGTGACATCTCTTGTTCCATGTCCTCGTCTGAATCGGATTTGAATCTCTGGCAGTTCTCTGTGAATGTACTGTTGCAGCCATTTTTAATTACCGGTAGCAAAATTTTACTTGCATGAGATATTAATGACATTGTCTGATGATTTCTGCATTCTGTTGGGTCATCTCTCTTTGGAATGGGCACAAATATGGATCTCTTCTGATCAGTTGGCCTGGTAGCTGTGTTCCAAATTTCTTGGTATAGATGAGTGAGCGCTTCCAGTACTAGATCAGTTTGTTGAACGATTGCAATTTGTGTTCCATCTATTTCCAGTTCCTCATTCTTTGCCAATGCCTTCAGTGCACCTTGGACTTCTTCCTTCAGCATCATTGACTCTTGATCATATGCTAGCTCTTGAAATGGTTGACCGCTGACCTTTTTTTAATTTTTTTTTGGTACATAACTCTTGTATTCCTTCCATTTTTCTTTTGATGCCACTGTTAAGTGCAGTTCAGTTTGTTTCTAAATACAAAAACCCTGTATAGAGTTTCAAGGAGATGCTGGTAGATTTGAACTGCTGACCTTGTGGTTAGCCATTCATTGCTTATCCTTCAATGTCACACCAGAATTCCATAGGGACTATGTTATTGTTGTTTTTATTAAATGCCATTGAGTCAGTTCTGACTCATAGCTACCCTCTATAAGGTTTCCAAGGAGCAGTTGATGCATTTTAACTTCCAACTTGTGGTTAGCAGTCTGGTGCTTATCCCTCAGCACCACACCAGGATCCATAGGGGATACATTCAACAAATCATATACTTTGCTTCACTACAATGATTGCAATCCCCTCTAATTTACCTCTAATCACTTTAACTATTGTATTCTTCCCTATGTCTCCCGCGACCTTCATCTTTTCTCTGCTAACCCACCCTTTGTTGTATATTACCCACCCTGTCACCCATGCTAACATGTGTCTACCCTCTACCCCATAAATAATTTCCCTCCTCCCTGACCCTGTGGCCATCACAGATTGTTTCTTTTATTAAGAAAACCTTTTCTTAGAGTTTTTACCACCTTGGTCTCAACAATATTTGTCCTTTTATAATTGACTTAATTGTACACATCATAATGTCCTCCAAATTCTTTGATGTTGTGAGGTGTTTCAAGATTTATCATCATTCTTCAGTGTTACGTAGTATTTCATTGTGTTTATGTACAAAAGCTTGTTTCTCCATTGTTGGGCGTTTAGGCTGTCACCATCTTTTTGATGTGTCTCTTTTAGATCGTATATTTTCTTATCCTATTTTCTTATCCATTCTGCTGTCTCTGTCTCTTGACTAGTGCACTTAATCACACTCAGTGTAATTATTGATAGATATGAATTGACTGCGCTTATTTTGCTGTGTATGTGTTGTGTGTGTGTTGCTGCTGGTTTCTTTGTTGCACATAATTTTCTTTGTGAGTTGTCTTTAATTTTCATTTTTGTTGTATTAATGCTTATGAAATCTCTTTTTTATTTTCCTCTTTTTAAATTTTAATGTATAGGTGCATTAATTTTCAGTGTACATGACAGGATACCTTGTAATTTATTAAAGCTTTTGCCAATTTAAAAAAGCCTCTTTTATCTTAAAATCTACATGACTTCTTTTGCCTTTTGAAAGTTCTGTATCTGCATTATTCCCTCTTTTTATTTTGTAGTTGACTTCATTAAAAACTAACATCTCTGGTTTTCTATGTTCAGTCCTGTAGATTTGTTCTACCTTGAATGCTGCTATATCTGGATTGAATTCTGGGTGGTGTTGTCATGTATGGTGTTCTCAAATTGTTGTCTGCTGTTGTTGGTTGTCAGTCTAAAGAAAACATCTTAGGATTTTTTGTAAAATTGGTCTGGTCATTACAAATTCCTTTCATTTTTGTTTATCAGGAAACTACCTAATTTCACCATCATATTTAAGTGACAGCTTTGCTGGGTAGATTCTTGCTTGGCAGTTTTTGTTTTTTTTTCTTTCAGAATTTTGTTTATGTCATTCCATTGCTTTCTTGCCTACATGGTTTCTGTGGAGAAATCAGAGCTTAGTCTTACTGGTTCTCCTTTGGTGTAGGTACTTTTAGTTTTTCCTGAGCTACTTCCAGGATTCTTTCCTTGTCTTTAGTTTTGTAAACTTTGCTTCTGATATTTCTTGGTGATTTTGTTATGATCTTGTTTAGGGTTTGTTCAGCGTCTTGTATGCTTATTTTCTCATCTTTAGTGATTTTAGGGAAGTTTTCTTCCAACAACTCTTTGACAGTTTTCTCTCTGCTTTTTATTGTCTCTCCTTTTTCTAGAATTCTGATCACCCACAAGTTCTTTATATTCATGGTGTCCTACATAACTCTTAGGTTTTCTCAGGATTTTTTCAGATTATTCTCTATCATAGTAGTATTGAGAAGTTTATCTTCAAGCTCTCTAGTTCAGACTTCCAATGCTTTGAATCTATTTCCTTTCCCTTACAATGTATTGTCCATTTCTGAAATCTTAGAATTAATCATATGGATTTCTACTTGTAAGTTTTGTATTGTTTAAAAATTTGCATTTATTTTGTCTGCCTATTCTTGTAGTGTTTTCCTGAATTCTTCATAAGTTTTTTTTATGTGTTCTTCTTGCTTGTGTTAATATTCTGTCAGTCTTTTGAAGGCACCTAAATACCATTCTTTTGAATTGTTTTTCAGTTAGCTCCATTACTTGTTTTTCCCAAGAAATGTTTTCTAGCTCTGCATTTTGGTCATTTGAGCCATTCTCTCTTCTTTCTCAGTGTGAGCTAAAATTGTTGTCTCCGTGGCATTGTGGGACTGTTGTATTTGTTTTGAATTGATGATTATATATTGATTGGTTCTTAGACTCTCACCAGTGGTCACCTTACTCGTTCCCTGTGTGAACCTGCTCTGCCAGTCCACCTTCTGTTTCCACAGCTGCTTATAAAATGGTCGTGCCACATCTGTCTGGACATTCACCAGTCAGCCTCCTTCTTTTACTACCTCTGCACAGCTTCTCCTTTCAGCCAGATCTCAGTTTACTTCTCTAGCCATTCCTCAGAAGTTCAGTGTCCCCATATTTTCATCTGTGTCTGTTTCACTTGGTCTCTCATATCTTTCTTATAGAGGGTGTGTAGTGAGTGTGTCAGCTTAGTCCACCATCTTGCTGAAAGTTCCATGATTATTATTTTGAATTGTTGTGTGTTGGTATCTGTGGCTCTGTTCTCACCATAGTTAAATGTTTTATTACTAATTTGATAACTAAAGAGATCTAATGGTGCTATAAAATAAGCACTGGACTGCTAACCACAAAGTCAGCAGTTCAAAGCCACCAGCCACTCTGTGGGAAAAACATAAGGCTATATCTTCTGCTCCTGTCAACATTACAGCCTTGGAAACCCTTTACAGGTTCGATAAAAGTCAGAATAAACTTGATGACAACAGATTTGGTTTTTAGTTTAATTTAATAGTTCTAATTAAAAGAATTTCTTTTTATGTCTTTTTCTAAACATGTTAAATAGACATTTTTTCCAAACTTCTTTATAATCTGAATTAATCTCTGAATTATTTTAAATAAACTGTTTTTAAA